GGATCGGCTTCACTTGTCTCTTTGACGAGTTGTAGTGTTGTCCTAAGACTTGCAATACAGACTGACAATACCGGAAAAACGTCAGGGAATGTACCACATCCATGGTCGGACTTTGGAAATGATCATGCATACAATGGACTCCGGACTAGATGCGTACCTCCAAATCTTTCTATCAATATGACCAAGTTGCGAAAACAAGGTCAAACAATTTCAATACAACGAAAGGAGACTGTGATCACACAAAAGGCCACACTATCTTGGTCTTCATATCTTCGAATAATTATTTGAGCCTATCTCACTCTTTGTTCATTGACTTTAAAATATCAAAATGGTAAACTTATTCTTTTAAAATCCCATTGAAAAGTTAGTCTTATCTTCTCTTTTGTTACTTAAAAATAAGAATTTTACAAATTAAATTAATAGGAGAATAATTTATTTTCACTATACTCAATATTGCACAATAATACTCGAGTTATCAAACCAAATAGCTTATCTTCTAAAAAACGCCTTTAGCAAATGCTCCATTATTTGCTAAACAAGAACCTAATGTAATTATTTAATTATATATTGATCCATTAATTTGGCGAATTCATGAGTATTTTTAACTGTATATAGCCACATTTCTTAGTTGTCTGAGTAAGAAATGTGAATTATTACGCATCACACTTCCTTTGCTATTAATAAGTAATCTAACAGGAACCGTCCCTCTGCCTACCTTTGGTATGTCGTAAGTCTTCGGTTTCCTGACATCTCATTTACACTCCTCTTCTCTATTGCCTACACACGCCTCAAGGCAACCCAATCCTGTTTTAATCGTCTTACTTGGATCCTGTGTTAATAGTTAAAACGGACCAGCATTTCTTAATAGCCTAACCTAGTTACGATGGGACCTATTCTACCTTTTTACACCTTTGGTATGACTAAGTAAGCTATTCGGAAATCAGACCTGTATTTAATCGAAGGTATTAAGACTAGGAGAGTGTAGCATTCTGTATAGTCCTGTATTTAGTTTATCATCAAACATGATTGCATGCCTCATTTCATTGTGGATAGGGTCTCAATGAGTCTAATAAAAAGGCCAGTCAGACTGGGCCAGTTACAAGTAAAAATTTACAGTTCACAGACCTCACCACATTCTTTTTTTTCAACATACACAACCTGTAGAGATTAGTTGTTTGGTGTTCTTGATCCGACAGTAGCTTGGAGCTGTTGTTAGAATGAGGCTAAGCTCTGATGATACCAATAATTTGAAAGCTGAAGCATGAGCACATTTTAGGCATCCCAAGGATTGCGGCGGCTTGAACGTTCCATCAAGATAAAGTCACTCCTGACTGAGGGGAAGCCGTCATCATCTTCTAGTTTGTTCAGCCCTTGATTCTCTTCATCATTCGTTTTTACACAAAATAAGAGTTGGCTCAGCACTGGCATCTCAGGAGATATATCAAAACCATATATTCAATTTATTTCTAAAAATTTCATTTTATCTTAAACACTTGCTTTTGAACATTTGATTTCAGCTCATTTCACCCGTCACGACGCATAGGTCTCCACTCGAATATCTTATTCTAGATTTTTCGTCCTGTTGTTTTATTGATACGATGGGTTTGCAGTTACTCAGAAAGGCAAGCATATTTCTTTCTATATCCGGGTAATTCCTTTGTGATTTTATCTTCATTTTATTTTTCCTTTGGCTTTTAGTGCAACCACATTTTATCAATATGAGAGGTATTCACCCTATTTCGCTTAAGGGGATGAAGGACTGGTCCTAGAAATAGGGTGAATACCTCTCATATTACTAATTTACTGGTAGTCTCGAAACTCTACTCCAATACACATTTTATCAAGTTTATGAAACCTTAAGATAATCTTGGCAATTTGCCAACTGAGTCTTTATCCTCATCTGGTAGACTGTCTTCTAAAAAATAGTCTTATGCACATTTCATAGTTTAACCAATTTAGGTAGGCCATGATCAAACTTCCCTTATGAGTTTAGGCGATTGAATTGAGCGTCTCCAGTAAATAGATAACCAGCAATATTTAAAATGCTTAGTCACTCTGGGACACCTTTTTATAGTGGAATTGTCGATAATGCAATCGCGTCAGTTATTTTCGGTATGAGCATAGTTTGAATGCTATTATTTCTTGCATTGTTCTTGATCAACCTAGGGTGACGAAGTTATTATTCAAACATTTCCTACACCCATACCAAAAACAAGTAAAATTTGATCCAGACTCTGGAGATACATTCTCGCCATGGCACTCAGGGCAAATTTGTGTATTCTTCTTTCCGCTACTTTGCCTTTCCTACGTGGAGTTCTATAAATGAACTACATAGATAACCTCATTTTGTGATTGAGATCCATTCGCATTATATGCTTCAAGCTGTCGTCCATCGCCTGTAAAGCTAATCCCGATCGACGGAACTACTTTTTTGTAACAATAATGTATTCTCTTGAACAAGAATTTAGTCTGCCTAGGCCACTTGCGGAATTTAAGGATTGCTAGTTGAGTTTTTCATACAATGAGTTGAGTAGGTCTCACAATGCCATTGAATTTCACTTAGCCTTGCCTCCCACAAGCCTATCTCATCCAGGATGAATAAGTTCTTATTCAAGCATTACTGATAGTCTCGAAACCTTTTATTTTCATCTTTTGCCTAGTGAAATTGTAGACAGATAGCGGACTCTTAAAGTGGCAACTTCGTCTTTATTTCGCTTTTTCTTTCAATATTTTTCAGTTAATCGACTTCTATCGAAGCCGCAACATAACAGTTTTTCTTGTCCTCTGCCATCTGCCTAGCGTGCAGAACTTGATTAACACATTATCAACTCAAATGGCGTCCAGACGTGCATCCAAGCCCAACCCCTCTAATTGTATGGCCATAGTCGCTAAACCTTCAACCACTGACCTCTCAGTCAATGAGTTGCATCCTCTTCCCGTCTCTCAGGAAACAAGACCTCTCCATTCAATTGGCCGTTCCTCATTGAAGTCCTTCCTTCGGTCATCTTCGGCCTCAAGATCTCCGAATTTGAGTCCAAAGGCCCGGCGTCGGTCTTGCATTGTTCCCACGCTGGAGTCTCCAAATCCACCCTACTTCAAAGAGTTCGTCTTCCTCTCCATCCACGACGCAGTACTTGCTGCTAAACACCATCAAAATGTATCAAATTCCAACGACTCCGTTATCTGCTAGTCTGTAAGTTGGCACCTGTTCCAGGCCTTAGCTCAGTTTTACTATCTTTCTAATCTTAGAACTATCCACCATCAGTCACCTATGATAGTGTTTCCATTTTCTTATCTGGTTTAAGGAGAATTTGAGGTTTTTATGTCTATTTCTGTTTAGATCTGTGTCGCATATCCTGTCTGTTTTTTGTCTAATGCATCTTGTCTAAGCTTTCGAATCCTCATAGAGTAATTTTATCTTCAAACAAATGAGTACTACTCAACCTATTACCTGGTCAAATGTCAGACGGTTTGCCCCTGTTGGAGAAAGTCGCACTCGACTTTGTCTCAACTCAGTTGTTTGGATCGGAAAACCGGATATGGACACTTCCAGTCAAATGAGCGTTTAGTCAGCCCAGGTCGTTTAAGGTGATTTAAGGATTGATAGAGTGGCTTTTCTTACAATTATCTGAGTCAGCCTCGGGATGAAAAATTAATTTCATTTCGCCTCGCCTCCCGAAAGGTTGTCTAATCCCTACAAGATGACAGTTTCGACCTTGCATAGGCCTCACTAACACTACCTACGAGATTCGAGCCCAGGTCTTGTGCATCATGACCACTTTTCACCACTTCACCACACATCCACAAGACACAATGGGTCTCACAGAGTAAACATGAAGTTTAGGACAAGCCAGTCACCTCCCATATCATATTCTATGGTGAGGTTGTCGTTGAGGTGGGATTTTATTTGTTGTTAAAATCGACTTAAATGCCTATTTTGATAAGCTACCTCATACTTTCAAAGGCTAAGAGACTGTTGTCCCTGTTGAATCTTAGTACTAATTCTCTGAGGCAGGTCTGTTCCATGTGGCCTGATTTGCTCTGCTGAGATCTGAGCTACTTCTGCGTCTGATAAACCAGCATCAAACAGGCTTCTACATGACACGAAACAGCATAGCTGATTTGGGGCTTTTTTATGTGTAAACCGCTAAATCACGGTAACTCCTATCTCATCACGTTTTGATAAATTTCCTTCGAATTATATTTATCTGCTTCTATAAATTTGCCATTGGTTCCTCTTTACATAATTATGTGGACCAGATTGGGCTAAATTAGTATTTGAATCCGAATTTCTGATTTCGGATCGTATGTTTATTTTACTTAATGAATTTGATGGGCTCCATAGGATCCTTTCGCCTCTGGATCATGTTTCACAAGAGAGTCTTCATACTGGACTTACTGGTGAAAGTAGGCTTAAGGGACTTGTAAAAACATTATTTGATGTTATAAATATATGTAGACCACCTGGGTTTCGACGAATCTCTTGAGATAGCATTGTTTTAATGTCCTGTACTTCGTATCAACACGCATGCTGAAGTTATTCTTGAGTCGGTGTCACCAGTAGGTGACGGCTGACTCCTGTATTTCTACAGCCGTTCGCTCACCCTTACAAAGACTTCAAGCGAACTAGTCAAGCCACGATGACTATCCAGCTATGTCTGCTATATAGTCCTATAACTAAAGACGAAAATTCATAGATTTACAGTGATTTGATTAGCTCTTTATCGTATTAATCATAATATTTATACTTGAATGTGTGTCTGTGTGCTTTTGTATGTATTTGAATCTGCATTAAGCACTTTCATATGAAATTAAAGTCTCCACAACAAAGTTATTTCGGCAGCATCAATTGGTTTTGCCATTCTTGAAGTCAAACTACAACTCATTGACGATGCTGACTACGAAGCTGGCAAAACTTCTGGCAATGTATCAAGTCGACGGTTCGACGGTGAGAATTATCATAACTAGTACAACAGGTGACTTCGGACATGGTGCGCCTGACTAGATCTTTCTGAAAACAAGGCCAACGTCAGGCCACTTCCATACAGTAGGAGACGGTGACTAAAGCGGGGATCACTACATCTTGTTATTCACATCTACC